AAAGGCTACGATAAAACACGACGTGAAAACACTGCACTGACCATATGGTGAACGGCGATGGGTGCGGCGTACCATATCAAGGTCATTGGCTAAACATCACGACCACTGCACATGAGCAGTTTCACAGTTCCTGAGCACATGCAAATCAGCAAACGAGCGGTTCCGGGCCGAAAAGGATCGCTACAGTGGAGAACATCTTTTGGACCGGCAATAATCACATTAAAACTACAGTACTACATCAACTTCGCTGGAACAAGACCCTTTGCGACCGATCGAACATCTTGGAAAAGGTCTTGATAGAAACATAGCTGTTTCAAACCACGGATGACGTGGACTGAGGACTGGGACTGCGCGCTAGAAATATCGAAAACATGTATTAGCCTCCAGTAAAGACTTACGAAGTCGAAGCCGTTCTAACACATCTAAGGAAACAAAGGGCCCTTTCGTTGGTACCTGTACAAGATGACGAGCGCGAGACGATGGATGGTCGAGATCAAACCTGTTGACCGGAAATGAGATGTACCTACCGTCGAAATTTTTACCTTTTTTATGAAGTAATGCAATAGGAATGAATGAAATTCATTACATGGAAAAGAATGAAATTCATTGCTTGGTTGAGAGCTGTTCTTAAGCAGTTGAGAAAAGACGATATTTTCTGCGGAGGATAAAAATCAGGTTAATAAATCATGCGTTCATAAGTTAGTTTGTTATTACAGGAAAACTAACCCGTCCTGGAAGATAGGCAACTCTCAGAGTAAGGGTGCTTATTGAACTGATGCACAAGTTGAGCGGCTTCTTCTGTCCATATTTAATTCTGAAGCTAACGCGAAGAAATGAAACTATCGAGGTTACGGCAGTGGATTGAAAAAAAATCAAAATTAAAACCAACAGGCAGAGGCTAAAGTTGGAAGAACGCCAAAAAGATTCACAGATTAAATGCAAATATGCGTAATCAATTATGGAACCTGATTAAAACTGACTTATTATACTTTCTTGCATGCATACATCCGTTATTTCATCGGTCATCCATTCCCCTGTCAAGCCTTTTGCTTTCAGTGCACGTAACCAGCCATTCTTTCATCCACCACTCCTCCATACGCACATATGCATACATACAAATGCAAACCAGACGAACTGTTACCTTCCAAGCAGCAGTTGAAGAAAAGGCATTAATTTGTTTTTCCGAAGTGTGTGAATCATATGAGCTCCGTGTACTCGGCTTTGTGTACTCGACTCCAACTTGAACGCGACAGGAGCAAGAACGTCTGAGTCATCTACTCGCAGTCTGTCTCTCGGTCGGCTGCCTATAGCTTCTGGGTAAAACGCGTCCCGTGAGCATCGACGGTCACGCCAACTAAAGCCCTGGACGGTGATTGACCACTGCAGTAAGAAGGCGCACTCACCAGCCAACGTCACATGAATCACTCATTGTGAATAATTATTTAAAATTTATTGATAACAAATCAAACAACGCAAACACATGCAGTCTGTTACTGCCGCATTGAAACTCGTGATTTTGCCAAACTTAATCTGAGTTCTGCTTTCTTGCACACATTTATTTTCCTGTTGATTATGGGTTAAGAGAGGGCCAGCTCTCAAGTGGGCAAAGGCGTGGCGATATGGCTGTGGAATAAGTGTGATCCTGCCATGGATATTTACTCCGTCTTGAGCTACTAACAAAGGGTAGTACGTCACCACCCACTGTCTTGTTTAACAGTTTTCGCGGTGTTTTACTTATTCAATTTTTGAAGGAATGTCTTTTGACTTTATGAAGGAGTTCAGTACAGTACACTCTTTAACTCTTTAAGCATTCAATCACCGGAGCTGACTTTTCAGTGAATCATACAAAAGACGTTGCATTCTGCCCCCCCCGTACTTCTTCACATGCTAAAGGCAAAGTTATGTCCACTTGGTCATCCGGTATTCAACTTTGTTCAGCTTTATGATCAGGTTCAGCCGGGCTGCTCTTATGGCATCGCTAGCTGTTGCAACGAACGTCAAGTTTCTAGTCAAGACTCCAGCACAACATATCATAAAGCATAATGATGCGCAGCAGCACCATCCGTCCTTCATTAATTTGTGCTGCGCAGGGTCCAGTGTTCGTGAGAGTGGGACTTCTTTTCTTCATAACAAAACAAAAAGCAGACTGCAGAAGCGCATTTAATGTCTGGATCTTCTTCAGATGTTGCAACGAATATCAGCTTCCTCGTTGCCTGAGAGTCACTGATTTCGAAAAGGCTTTTGAATCGATACACGCTCGTTCTATGCCGATTTCTTTTGAGGAGCCAGGGAATTGAGGAAAATGCAGAGACCTCATCTTCATGACCTACAAGAACTCAATGCTGTTTTTGACCTTTATGAAAATCCAAGCAAACTCAAAGTCGAAAACCGCACTCGACAGAATGATCC